GGCCAATCACCGGGAGACGGTGAGTTCTAGTCCCGGCCTTAGGCACGAAAGCCAGCTGGGTGACTTTGAGCCAATCACCAGGAGACGGGGAGTTCTAGTCCCGCCTTAGGCACGAAAGCCGGCTGGGTGACTTTGGGCCAATCACCAGGAGACGGGGAGTTCTAGTCCCGCCTTAGGCACGAAAGCCAGCTGGGTGACTTTGGGCCAATCACCAGGAGACGGGGAGTTCTAGTCCCGCCTTAGGCACGAAAGCCGGCTGGGTGACTTTGGGCCAATCACCAGGAGACGGTGAGTTCTAGTCCCGCCTTAGGCACGAAAGCCGGCTGGGTGACTTTGGGCCAATCACCAGGAGACGGTGAGTTCTAGTCCCGCCTTTGGCATGAAGGCAATCACTCTCACAGGGGAGAAAATAGAAGGAAGAGGAAGAATTATGTATGATGGGCAGCTTGAGTTACTTAGGAAGCAAAACAGGCAGGATAAAAATCTAATAAATAAAATCAAAAGCTACTTCTGAAAAAAAAGTGAGCCCCAGCTTTCCTGCCATTAAGCTAAGGGACCCCGCCCCCCCAAAAAAAACACCCCCGAACCTCATCCCGGTCCCAGGCTGGTTAGCCCCCCTTTTTATCCCCACAATGTAGAATTCCCCTGCCCCCCACACACACGACCGTTCCTACTCACTGGAAGGAAGGAGGGCGGGAGTCCCCGATGCCGCTGGTCCTCTCTACGGGCAATGGAGGAAGAGGAGGAGGCGGTGGGGGTGAAGGCTCTGGCCGGGCTTCCACGGGAGGGGGCGGAGGGGGCGGCTCGGGTGGGAGGACCTCCGAAGACACCAGCTGGGTGGGGACAAAAGGGGGGAGAGGGGGGGGGCTTAAGGCTTCCATCCTGCCCTTTTCTAAAACCGGGGGGGGGGGTCTTCCCCTGCCTCCCAGCAGAGTGGGGGCCCTGCTGGGTCAGGCTTGGGGGGTCTCTGACCCCTCCCCATCCGAGTCAGCTCTTCCCCTTTGGTCTACATGAAACAAATACAGTCCTTAATATTTTCAGCACATACCAAAGTTGAATATAAACATATTTTAGCACTTACGCACGTAACGATATTATTACAGGGAAGAAGAGAGGATCAAGAAATCTGTTACCATCATATTCATTGTAGAAATTAATTATCATTGAAGAGCGGATCAAGAAATATGTTACCAACCAACGTATTAATTGTGGGAGTTAATTATCATTGATTGTTTCAAATATACGAACCCAGACGACACGTTGTTCACAAGCGCTAAAGATTGTTATTGTAAAAGATTCATAAAAATATATTTTAAAAAAATATATAGAGTCAGCTCTTCTTCCTGGAAGAGACCAGACCACCCCACCCCCACCCCGGAAGCCTTTCCAGAGGCTCTGCTTCAGAGTCCCTGAGCCCATCATCCCCGGCGGGAGGGCAGGGGCTGCGTACCCAGGAGACGACTCTTCCGTTGAAGCAGGGCAGCTGGGCACCGTCGTCCGTGATCTCCTCCTTCACCACCCTGCAAAGGGAGATGGGCTCAGCCGGGGAGGCCGGCTGGGGAGACCCTTCCTCAGTCCCAGGAACAATGGGGGGGTGGGTGGAGCCCCTCCCTCCCTCTCCAGAGAAGCAAAGGATGCTGGGACCTCGTTCTTGCCCCCCCTAATTTTGTCCTTGGGAGGAGGGTCCACGGCCCCCACGGCTTCTCAGAAGCACCCAGGAGCCCCCCCCAGCAGAGAGGCAGAAAGCAGGGTCTCCTCCTCCTCCTCCTCCCACCCCAGGAGGGGCCCCTTAAGGCCCAGAAAACGGGCCCAGGGGGGTCTCTTGCCCCCCCACCGCTCTCCTTGCGGGGGGAGGATGCCCGGGCTCCCCGTCTTCTCAGGGGACCCCCATGAACCCACCCTCTGCAGAGAGGCAGGAAGCAGGGCCTCCTCCTCCTCCCACAAGGGGGGCCCCACAAGGTCCAGAAGACGGGCCCAGGGAGGGGGGCTCTCGACCCCAATGCTTGGGGGGAGGCTGCGCGGCCCCCACAGCTGCTCTGGGCCGCCTACACTTTGGCAAGCAGGGCTTCCTTCTGCCATGGGGGCCCCTCGAGGCCCACAAGACCGGCCCAGGGGGGGTCCCTTGTCCTCCCTCTCTCCTTAGGTGGGGAGGATGCAAGGCCCTCCATAGCTGCTCTGGGGCGCCCAGGACCCCCCTCTGCAGAGAGGCAGAAAGCAGGGTCTCCTCCTCCTCCTCCCACCCCAGGAGGGGCCCCTCGAGGCCCACAAGACGGGCCCAGGCGGTCTCTTGCCCCCCCCATCACCGCTCTCCTGGCGGGGGGAGGATGCAGGGCCCCCCACGGCTGCTCTGGGGCGCCCAGGACCCCTCCTTCTCCTAGGGTCCTTCTGCCCCCCGCAACTGCGGGTCCCCTCGAGGTCCAGAGGTCGGGCCCCGGGGTGGGCGCGGCTCTGGGCCCCCCCCTTCCTCCCCCCCGGGCGGGGGGGGTCTGGGGGCCCCACCCGAAGTCCTGGTCCATGCTCTTGAAGAAGTACTTGGCGCCGGGCCGGGCCAGCGCCGCCTTGACGTGGCCCAGGGTGAGGCGCTCGGCCGGCACCGGGATCTTGACCAGGTAGGGCGTCTCCTCCTCGTCCAGGTGGTAGATCACCTTCGTCTCGCCCGCCGAGAGGGGGCCGCCCGCCGTCGCCATGGCGACCCGGGGAGGGGGCGGCCCGCCGGGCGCGCGGGGAGGGGGAGGGGCGGGCCTCGCGGCGGCGGCGGCGGAGAAACAGCGGCGGCGGCCACCCGCCTCTCTCCCTCCCGTGCGTCAGTACGTCATCACGCACGGCCCCGCCCCCCGGACGGCGCACGACGACGGCCTCCGCTCCCTCCCGGCGCGCATGCGTCATCACACACGCGGCTCCGCCCCCCCCACCCCGAGGGAAAGCCTCCGCTCTGTCTTCGGAGCGCATGCGTCCTACGCACGACTCCGCCCCCGGAGCGCGCACGACGGCCTCCGCTCCCTGCCGGCGGCGCATGCGTCACCTCACACGCGACTCCGCCCCCTCGAGCGGAGAGCCGCCTCCGCCCTCTCTTCGGAGCGCACGCGTTCTACGCAGGGCTCCGCCCACCCACCCCGTGACCGCATTTTCCCTCCTAGCTCTTCACTCCGCCCCCGAGAATTCTCCGACCGCCCTTTCTCTTTTCCCTTCTAGCGCGCATGCGTTATGTCGACTCCGCCCCCCGAGGAGCGTTCTTTCGCCCCCGCTCCCTCCAGCGCGCATGCGTCCAACGTAAAAGACCTCCCTCTCGGCGCGCACGCGTCAATTACACCACTCCGCCTTGGAGAGGCGTCCTTTGGCCCTCCCTCCTCCCATCCCGCCAGCGCGCATGCGCCACAGGCAGCACTCCGCCCCGGAGAGTCGTCCTAACGACCTGCCTCTCGGCGCGCATGCGTCGATTAAAAACACCGCTCCGCCCAGGAGAGGCGTCATTTTTTTTTTTGACTTTCTGCCGCGCATGCGCAACTGACCTGTCATTCTTGGTGCGTCATGGCGGAAGATCACGCCCACGGCGGTGGGCGCCCAACCGCCCTCTCGCTGGACGAGCGTCACGTGGTAGGAGGGACACGCCGCCGGAAGTCAGGCCTAGCTTGGCCTCACGTGGGCGGAAGTGCGCGCGGGGCATGAGAGCCTCTCGAGCCAGGGCAGTCTACCTGCCTCCCATTGCCCCCCCCATAAAAAAATAATAAATAATATCAATGAAGAGCCGAGGCCTCTGTAGAAACTGCCAAAGGGTCTACGTCTCTTTATTTACAGTCGAAAACGCTGCCATGTACACGTCTGCCAATATTAAAAGAAAAAGGGGGGGGGGAGGGAGGGGCCTGGCCCGGCCTCTCCCCCTCCCACCCGGCCTCAGAAGGGCCGGAGGGGGGGTCAACATGGGGTGGGTGAGGGGGAACCAAAGAAACCCCCCTCCTCTCCTGCCCTTCATTGCTTTAAACTTAAGGGGGTCTCCAAAGTTTCCCTCCCTTTGATGACTGGTGGACTTCAACTCCCAGAATTCCTCAGCCAGGCAGGCTGGCTGAGGAATTCTGGGAGTTGAAGTCCACCAGTCATCACGGGGCCAGGTTGGAAGACCCCTGCTTGTGGACTTCAACTCCCAGAATTCCTCAGCCAGGCACGCCAGCTGAGGAATTCTGGGAGTTGAAGTCCACAAGTCATCACAGGGCCGAGTTTGAAGACCCCTGGTTTAAACTAAGGGGTCTCTGAACTTTCCCTCCCTTTTAAGACGGGGGGACTTCAACTCCCAGAATCCCCCAGCCAGCTATGCTGGCTGGGGGATTCTGGGAGTTGAGGTCCCCCCCGTCTTAAAAGGGAGGGAAAGTTCGGAGATTCCCAGTTTAAGTGCCTCAATACAAACGGGGACCGAGTCAAACTGCGCCCCTCTTCGAAGCACAACCAAAGAAACCGTGGTCCGGGGGGGTCCCCCACTCCGGCTCTCGGACCCCCGGGGAGGAAATGAAACACGATTCGGACGAGTCCAAAACCAGGAGCACAAAACTTGTGTTCAAAATATTCCCAACCGGGGAACCAACCGACCAGCCGACCGATCCAGCCGGGGAAAGAAAACAGGAAAAGAAAGAAAGGAAGAAAAAAAAAAACACAACCCTTTTTGTCTTCTATTTACAGAGAAGAAGTTGGAGCAGGACAGGGAGGGAAGGAAGAGGGTCCAAAAGAAACCAAGAGGCTTCGCCCCCAAAAAAGTGGACATCGGACCTTCCCGGGGAGTGGGGGGGGGGCGCGAAGGCCAGGAGGGCCCGCTGAAACCTAGCCCGTTTTAATAAGCGCCGGGAGTCGTTCGCCGGCCTGGCGCCTCGTCTTCGGGGCCCGACACTCAAAGGGGACCCCAAATCCAGAGCAGGCCCCTCCCTCTCTCTCTCTCTCTCTCTCTCTGCTCCGTCCGGTCTGTTTTTCCCTCTGCGGGACGAAAGGCCCGCCGAGAACCGCGGCCCCCTCCTGTGCTAGGGCTCCCCGCCTGCCCGGGATGCCAGAGGGGCTGTTGCGCCGAGCGCCGTGGGGGGCTGAGGGCTCAGCAGCGCCTGCTTCCGCGTGCTTTCTTTGCATTTCTGGCAGAAGAAAATGTCGGGCACGTTCGTCTTCTTGATCTTGGCGCAGGAGAGGTGGATCCAGGTGCCGCACTGATTGCATTCGATCATGGGGCGGCCGGCGAAGGGCTTCTGGCAGTAGCAGGTGATCAGGTCCCACGAATCGTCGCCTGGAAAAGCAGACGCAAAACGGGGCCTTGAGCCAAGAGCGCAAAGACATTTAAAGAAAATTAAAATCACTTTCTGGGATCGAACGACCCTTTGTTTGAAAGGCTATGTTTCCTGCTGGAGCTAGGGGTTGGACTAGAAGACCTCCGGGGGTCCCTGACAGGAACAAAAACCCAATATAAAAACAATAACAGGGAATAACGCCTCCCCTTGCCTCCATGCTTGGATAGTCCTCAACTTTACAACCCCTTTCTGTGGCGACTGCTCAGTTAACAATGACACCGGGAAAAGTGACTTGAGGACTGTTTTTTCACACTTACAACATCCCCGGCGGTCACGTGATCAAAATTCGGAAGCTTGGCAACTGACTCACATTTATGACGGTCGCAGCGTATCCCGGTGTCACGTGATCCCCTTTTGCAACCTTCTGATGACCATAGTCCAAGGGAAGTCAGAGTCACATGTCACTAATTTAACAACTACAGCCTTCCCTCCTTCCTTCCGAGGTCGGTAAAATGAGGACCCAGATTGTCCGGGGAGTCAAATAATGTTGACTCTGCGAACCGCTTAAAGCCCTGCAAAGCGGTATATAAGTCTTAAGTGTGATTGCTGTAGTGATTTACTTAACAGCTATGGCAGGAAAGTGTGCAAAATCGGGCAAAGTTCAGTGAACTGTCTTGCTTAGAGATTTGTGGGGTCTGGTGTGGTCATAGACTGAGGACTTCCATCAGTGGGAGATAAAATTGTCTACTTTTGCTTTTGGCTCTTAAATGTTCTCTCAAAGTTTCAAAAAAAACCAACTAAAAGTATACTGAAGGTGCAAAAGAGGAAGTGGCGGGCGATGGACCAAGTTTTCCAGCCACGTTGAATACCGCATTCCTTTCTGAGGGTTCAAAAAAGTACACAACTTAATCCCCCTGCACAGTTTTGAGTGTTTGGAGAGACTCTAGGGTTGTGAGATACACAGGCGCTAAAGAACTGACGGCCCCCATCGTGGATTCAAAATCTCCCACAAATCCGACGATAATAAGTAGAGAAAGTTGCTGGCTCAGGAATTCTGGGAGTTGAAGTCCACGAGTCATAAAAGAGCCAAGGTTGACTACTCCTGCGTGTAAAGGATGGTTTGATACGCTGAAGTGTATAAAGTTAACAAACAGCTAAAGAAAAGTTGTTGGGATCTTAGGAGGGGTAAGGTAGAGGAGGGGAAATATGACTTGTGGACTTCAACTCCCAGAATTCCCGAGGCAGGTGGCTCAGGAATTCTGGGAGTTGAAGTCCACGAGTCATAAAAGAGCCAAGGTTGACTACTCCTGCGTGTAAAGGATGGTTTGATACGCTGAAGTGTATAAATTTAACAAACAGCTAAAGAAAAGTTGTTGGGATCTTAGGAGGGGTAAGGTAGAGGAGGGGAAATATGACTTGTGGACTTCAACTCCCAGAATTCCCGAGGCAGGTGGCTCAGGAATTCTGGGAGTTGAAGTCCACCCAGCCATAAAGGGGCCGTAATTCCCCACCTCTGGGGTAAGGGAACCAATTTTTTTTTTAAAAAAGTCTCCAATATCCCAGGATTGGGCAACTGGATCTTGGATGAACGGGTCTCCATGCGGGAAACAGACTTGGCTACTCCCTAATGGAGGACTGTCCGATGTGGCTTCCTTTCGCATGTCCGGGGCAGGCTGGGACTCTAACCCAGTTTACACAAACCTGGGATTGAACCAGACACGATCTTTCATCTGTCATTAAGCAGGGATCAATCTAAAGCCACTGCAGCCTTGCCCCAGAGGTTGGTAATTGCGCCCAAGCCTATTTATTTATTAAATTATTATTTATTAAATTATTATTATTTATTTTATGCTGCCTTTCCTTTTTTTGTAGACAACTTCAGATGGCAAATATATACCTAAGCCTTTTTACGTCCTCCTATTCTCTCCACAACAGCCCTGTGAGGTAAGTTGGGCTGAGGGAGAGACTAGAACTAAGGCAGGACTAGAACTCCCAGCCTCCTGGTGACTGGCCCAAAGTGACCCAAATTGGCTTTCGTGCCCAAAGCGGGACTAGAATTCAACGCCTCCTGGCGATTGGCCCAAAGTCGCCCAGCCGGCTTTCACACCCAAGGCGGAACTAGAACTCACCGTCTCCCAGTGACTGGCTCACATAGCTGGCTTTTATGCCTAAGGAGGGACTAGAACTTCCAGCCTCCTAGTGACTGGCCCAAAGTGACCCAAACTGGCTTTCATGCCCAAAGCGGGACTAGAATTCATCGTCTCCTGGCGATTGGTACAAAGTCACCTAGCTGGCTTTCATGCCCAAGGCGGAACTAGAACTCACCGTCTCCCAGTGACTGGCTCACATAGCTGGCTTTTATGCCTAAGGAGGGACTAGAACTTCCAGCCTCCTGGTGACTGGCCCAAAGTGACCCAAACTGGCTTTCATACCCAAAGCGGGACTATAATTCATCGTCTCCTGGCGATTGGTACAAAGTCACCTAGCTGGCTTTCATGCCCAAGGCGGAACTAGAACTTACCGTCTCCCAGTGGCTGGCTCACATAGCTGGCTTTTATGCCTAAGGAGGGACTAGAACTCACCAGCTCCTGGTGATGGGCCCAAAGTCACCCAGCCGGCTTTCATTGCCAAAACGGAACTAGAACTCCCAGCCTCTCAGTTCCTAACCTGGTACCTAAACCACTAAACCCAAAAACTATCGATCGGTGAACGTAAGAGACGTTAAGACAGGGGCACCGGATATGCAGCCCCCTGCCCGAGTCCCGACAGGCTCACCCTGACCCTCCAGGGAGGCGGGGGGGGGGGTTTCTCGTCTCACCTGATTCCACCATGATGTCCTCGTCCATGACCCTCATCTCTCCTTCGCTGGAGCTGCCTTCCTCCCCGTCCTGGCTGGTCTCCGTGCTGATGCCCTCCTTCCCTTCCGTGTCCTCCAGCTTAATGGGAAACGGGGTGGCCAGCAGCTCCGGCGGTGCCTGGGCTGCGACCCGCGCCGCGGCCGCCCCCTCCTCCCCACCCGGCCGCAGAGGGGCCGCCCCGTCCACCACCTCCTCCTCCTCCTCTTCCTCCTCCTCCTCCTCCTCTTCCGAGTCCGTCTCGCTCACGGAGGTTTTGTGCTTCTTCTCGCCCCGCTCCGACCGTTTCAACTTCCGCTTCTTGCTCTTTTTGATGCGCGAGCGCTTCTCGCCCACCGAGTCGCTCCGGTTCCGCTTGGCGGCCCCGGCTTCCAAGGCGGCCTTCCGGCTGCGCTTGTCCTTCTTCTTGTCGGCGGCGGCTTTGGGCCCGGCTAGCGGGGGCGGCTGTTTGCCCACCGGGTCCAGGTCGAAAAGGGAGTCCTTGAGTTTCATCTTCTCCAGCAAGGAGCTGTCGGATTTCAGTCGCCGGAAGGCCGCTTTTTTCTTCGAGGATTTGGCCTTCTTGACAAAGGTCTCAATGGTGTGCAGGTCCGACTGCGTGGACTCCCAGCCGTCGCTGTCCACCACGCTCTCCGGGCGGAGCGGGGAGTTGGACCCGGAGGCCGTCCAGTCGTTCTCCTGCCAGGAAGAGAAGGCAGATTAGCCCTAATCACCCGGATTAACCGACATCCAGATTCCGGGAAAGAACCTATCTGACCTGACACACAAAAATTAGCAAATTTCAATGCCAGGACAGATAATCCTCAGTTTACAAAAAGTTCACTTAATGACAATTTGAAGTTACAACACACTGGGGCAGAGGTAGGCAACCTTGGCTCTTTTAGGACTCGTGACTCCTGAGCCAGCATGGGGGAACTATGGCCCCTTCATGACTTGTAGACTTCAAATTCCCAGAATTCGTCAGCCAGCATGGGGGAACTATGATCCCCTCATGACTCGTGGACTTCAACTCCCAGAATTCCTGAGCCAGCATGGTAGAACTATGGCCCTTTCATGAGTTGTGGACTTCAACTCCCAGAATTCCTCAGCCAGCATGGAGGAACTATGGCTCCCTTGAGGACTCAAGGACTTCAACACCCAGAATTCCTCAGCCAGCATGGGGGAACTATGACTCTTTTATGACTCGTGGACTTCAACTCCCAGAATTCCTGAGCCAGCATGGGGGAACTATGGCCCCTTCATGACTGTGGACTTCAACTCCCAGAATTCCTGAGCCAGCCTGGCTCAGCTTGGAAACCTCTCCCTTTCCCCTCAGCATGGCTGGCTCAGGAATTCTGGGAGTTGAAGTCCATGAGACATAAAAGCGCCAAGGTTGCCTACCCCTGCAATGGGGGGGGGGGGGAAAGGGACTTATGACTGTTTTGCACCAAGCTTCAAACATTTGGCAACTGACCGGTTGCGGTGTCCCGGGGGTGTCAGCTGATCCCCTTTCCCGACTTTCCAGCCAAGCTGTTTATTTAACAATTGCTGTGATTCAGTTAACAACCAGGTCGTAAAACGGGGCAAAACTCCCTTAACCGCGGTCTCACACCTCAGCAGAAATGTTGGGCTTAATTGTAGCCGTAAAGCTGATGACAGCCAGGAGGAAAAGCAGATTTTCTCCAACTAACGAACGCGGCGCTTCATTGGATAGATAGCCTAAATTTGAATACCCCAGGGGTCTTCAAACTTGGCTCTTTAAGGACTCGTGGACTTCAACTCCCAGAATTCCCCAGCCAGAAAGCGTTTACAAAAATTCGGCATGGAGAAGAAATATGGCTAGACTTTTCCAAAGTTTATTGCATCGTTTGATACGGTAACTTTCTTAATTAGGGTTCTTCAAACGCCTGGTTACTCTCTTGTAATCCCTTCCTCTGCGATCTCTCTCTCTCTGTCTCTGCTCCAGAGCATGGAAGGCAAAAAACGGGCATGGCACCTGGCTGAGGAATTCTGGGAGTTGAAGTCCACAAGTCATCAAAGGGCCAGGTTTGAAGACCCCTGGAATATACGGACCCCTTGATTCCATTCTCGGGGAGCCCACGTACTTCAGCCAACGCAACCTGTTAACTTATGTGTGACTTCTTGACTTCCTCATACCTTACAAAGGTGATTACATACTTGCATTGTGTACGTGCCATAATATTATAGGCTGCTTTTATCCATGTGCTACATGTAAATAATTAAAGCCCTGATCGCCATCTTGGAGAAGGTCTTGATCTCTAAATGTGTTCTCTGAAGCCCCTGAACCCACATTTTATGCCCACCCCACCCCAGGCTACATCCTACCTTATGGCTATCCCTGTCTGGCCTTCGTGGATTGTTTTTATTTTGAGGGAGACCTCCCCCCCCCAGTGTATATTATATAGGTGTGAGACCTCCCCCCCAGTGTATATTATTTGAGGGAGATCTTCCCCCCAGTATATTATATTATATTTTGTTTGGCCCTCCCTCCCTCCACAACAGTGGCCGTTTTTCCTGTGGCTCCTTCCGGCGTAATGTCAATGGGCACCCCCAGATTTTCTGGCTTCTCTTGCGTCCCAATTGGTCTCCCTCTGCACCCCAACAGCTGGAAAACTGCGACAGGCGCAAGGGAAAACTGACGGACGCAGAAGCGGTGAGCTTTGCAGATATGACCCTACCTCAACTAACCAATCAATCAGACCAGAGCTGGAAGGGACCTTGGTGGTCTTCTAGTCCAACCCCCTGCTTGAGTACCATTTCGGACAAATCTTAAAAACCTCCAGGGATGGAGCACTCACACAACTTCTGGTGGCAAGCTGTCCCACTGGTTAATTGCGTCCCGTGTTTCGTTTGTGCTCATTTTTGCATGGTTTTCTCAAACCCATACATGGTTTCATACGAATAATTACAGAAAAAAAAGGCTCCCTTTTGGGGGTTGGGTTGGCCCAGGAGCAAATCAAACATTCACAGCACGTGTTTAGCCAGGTCAAAACAAATACTGCCATGCTTTAAACTCGGATAAGGGGTTTGTGGGGGGCTAGGAAACATTTGCCTCGAATAACTAGGATTAAACAGTTCGTGGGAACGCAGCCAACGGGCCAGTCTCTGATCTCCCTTTTAGTCTCAATGGATCAGAGGCGCCAAAAACAGCTGCGGAGTCCAGTTGTAGAGTTACAATAAACCAGGGTTCTCCAAACCTGGCTACTTTGAAGACCTGTGGACTTCAACTCCCAGAATTCCCTTGAAGTCCACAGGTCTTAAAATGGGCCACGCTTGGAGACCCCTGGAATAAAGCAAAGTAAAATTTGATCACCTCTGGATTTCAATGATTTCAAAACCCACAAACCACGGCTTAAAAACTTCCCACGCACCCAGGATTTACGGGAAGCTCCATTTTGCCAGCGCCCGTGCGCTTCTAACTCCTCCATATGTAATTGGGATTAAAACAACGAGCAGAAGTAACCAAGGAGTTGCAAGCCATCTGCTCCTCGGAGAGGCAAGGAGGTTAAGCCACGTTCCGGGGAAACAGCCCAGCTTAGCAACATCCAAGGTTGCGGGGAAAGGACTCCGAAAGCACCACTAATCCCAATCCAGGGTCAGCTCAAAACAGACAGGAAAGCCAGCCCAGCCCTCAGGGGGCCAGAACTACACTTCCCAAGATGCACCGCGCCAAGCCCGGCCGCATGACAAGCCGAGACACGTCCTGGCCCGCCTTGGCGAAGGAGCGAACCGCCTACACTTCCCAGCATGCACCGCCCGGCGGTGTCCGGCCGAAATGGCCTCCGAGGCGTCTGGGAGTTGCAGTTCCTGCCGGAGCTTTGCAAGCTCCAGGCTGGGAAAAAGCAGCGGGGGGAAAGGCGAGAAAGGGAA